CTTATACGGAACTTAATAGGTAGCCAGTGCAGAGACTGTAAAATTGGGGTAATATGATCATATTTTCTTGACCTGGTAAGGACTCTAGCTGCTGCATTTTGGACTACCTGTAGCTTGTTTATTGAAGATGCAGGACAACCACCTAGCAGTGCATTACAATAGTCCAGTCTAGAGGTCATGAACTTAATGAATCACATCTTAATGAATATAGTTTGAATATCAATCATACTTAGCTGTGCCGCACATGCAGCAGGGGGCTAGAAGAGATTCAGTAACATACTGATTGACTAAGAGACTGAATTTTGTTGATTAAAAAATTATTTTGTTTTGTTTAAAAAACATGTTGATATTGTTTGTATCAAAAAAAAAAAATCTTTCTCCTTTGACATGTTCAAAATTAAATAGAAATACTTTATTAACTACCATTTCTGTCCTTTTGTGTGATGTTATGTCCTATGGTGTGACACATAATAGAACCACAGATTTGTTTTTTATCTCAAAATATCTTAAATAAAACAGTTGAGTGTTGCAGTAGGGGAGATATAAATATCACTCATCTTAAAATGGTAGAATTTTCAGCAGTTTTGAATGGATGACAGCAAAGTTTGTCTTGTTGTCAAAGTTTGTCTTGAAATTGTCAAAGGGAAAAAATTGTTAATTATAATTTCATATTTAATAACACTATATGAAAATTGGTGTCTAACAATGAAGATAAATCTCTCTCATGCTATTTATATATTATTAAGAGTTTTTTTTTCTTAATTTTTGCTATGTCACACCATAGGACAAATTTATGGTACAGTTCAGTAAAAATGTAAAAAAAAAAAACCCAATGAAAGAAGTTAGTGACCCTTTATATTTTCTCAAAGATCAGACTTCACACTACATAAACATATGCATTTCTTCTTCAAAAATGGTCTTTTACAAAATAAGCATTTTTTACTGCCTATTTGTCAACTACCCATATATATATATATATATATATATATATATATATGTAAATAAATATAATATAAATATTCAATTAAGATGTTAATATTCTAAAGAAATTTAGTATAGAATTTATATTTGCTTACAAAACTAATTTTGAGACATTTAAGCAGCAATCTTTAGATTAAAATATTATTAAGATCGTGCAAACCTAAATTTAGACAAGTGTATCCAAAGTGTATTAGTAAAATATTTACTAATTTTATTTTCAGATGAATTATCTTTGTCTGATATTCTGATCATTACTCAACACTTGACGAAACCATAAAGAAAGTTTGGAGTGGATGGACTGAGGAGGTGGATTTTTTGCTACTTTTCCTGTAAAATCCAATTCTGTCTTGCCCATTATATTAAATATATTGGCTATGGTGACTCCTACACTGCTAATGAAATGCGAGCGGCTTCAGTAATGATGTGTATATCTTTATGCCGCAGTGGCGTAATGGCCTGCGTCCTGGCGATTACAGCACTCAGGGCGCCGTTTTATTCGGCCCCAGCGCTCAGTAATGTGTTTGTGCGTGGTAGGCATTCCTATACTGACTTTTAATGTGAGGGCTTTTTGTCCGGCCCGGAGATTTATTCACAGCCGTGTGTAATGTCATTTCATGTTGAAACACCCACCCTATGTTCAAATGAAAGAGGCATTGATGTTCATCTTAATCTGATATACTTTAATACCACGGCATCAAAATTACTCGACTGTAAGGGCCCGCAAGAGGAGGGAGGTGCGCTGCCATCCGAACTCGAAACAAAGACACGGTTTGTTTTCCACAAGGAGATTTTTTTTGTTTCTCTTTATGATTCTTTTTAAATGAAAATTTCATATCACTCAGAGCAACTGTAATCTGCAATCTGTAACTTTATGACAAGATGTAGTAATAGATTACAGTTGTAAATCTTTCTTGAGAACTAATTGTCATCTTTCGCATCAACTGTACGGCAATAGTGAACATATGCATACATGTGGCTCTGCACTTTGCTTTTTGTTCTCGCTGTTTTTGCATGAGCAGTTTTTGCAGTAAAGGGGACTGAGTCATGGAGAACTTGTGCAAGGGAAAAAACGAGGGCATATCAGGAGAGAGTGAGAGAGAGAGTACGAATGCATACATACACACTGTCCTTTGCCCATAGTCAGGAGCAGCACAAGGTGATACTCTTGTGTTAGAGAGCATTTGTGCGTGTGCTTACACACGTGCGTGCATTGGCTGTGTGCTTTTTCCTCTTTTGAAGACAACAAAATCAGCCCTGGGCATTTGATAAATTAAGATATCCATTTGAATACATTTTGTGTATTTTTTCCCCAGTTATTTTTCTCCGTCTGTGATCAGATGCCTGGCATTGTCTGCTCTCAATATCCTGAGTTCCACACATGCTACATGGAAAATAAATCTGCTGTCTATTCATTTCAAACACGCCTCAGAATCTAATATAGTGAAATAATAGTTCAACTTTGTCTGTTTTTTTTTTTTTGTCTTTCAGGATTTGCGTAAACAGATAGCTCCTTTGCTGAAGGGCTTCCAAGCAGAGGTGAGTCACCTTCCTAAATGGTTTACTTGTATTTATTGTCTTAAACTGTGGCGATGTGTGTCATTTTATATACTTACTTTTTCCCCAGAACAGCTATTTGTATGTTGTTTCCCTTGAAAAATGTAAACACTGTGGCTCTGAGGCGCTATGAAAACATTTTTCTGTTTGTTTGTGCACCTCAATCTGCCCAACAACAGCAGCATTGGCTGAACCAATGGTGTGAGTTTAGGGGTGGGACTATTTGTTTGACCAACCAATTGCAAATGGGGGGAGTGTTCAGGGAAACCTGTTTGAAAACAGGTATGATTTTTGCAGTTCCATCTGGTGATGGTAGTGGTGTAGAAAATAGATCTTAGAAAATGTTTTAGAATGTATCTAATTTTTATTTATTTATTTATTTATTTTTTAGAAAACCATTTGAAGCCAGAAAACAATACATGGACCTGACCCTATATTTTAAAATCAATAATTTGCCTCTGGCTTTGAGTTTTTGTACAATTAATAATTAATTCCCAAAACATGATGAAGACAAGACACACTTGCTGTATAACTGGTTTGCATTAGACTATTGTATGGTGGAATATTGGAATATCGAGGGGAAAAAAATTATAATTTTATTTTGCCCTAGAATTTTTCCCCAAAATATTTTATTTGATACAAAGATTGTATTACAGTACTGTGTAAAAAAAGAATTGCAATGCTGAAAAAGCATTTTCAGTGACAATGTTTGAATTTGAAATCAAAATAATGGATAAATGTTGTGTTTGTGGTAAACAGCCACGGATCAGTAGCGGACTCCTGTGTGAAAGCTGCTTCTCCTCTCACAAGAGTCACCTAAGAGGGGAATTCCCCCCATTTTCAAAAATGAAATTCAGGCCCTGAATAAATGTCTAAAAATCCTGATTGGAGTATCACTATAAATAGTTATAAATGATAAAAAGAAGGCTTTAAAAAGATCTGTATCGGTGGTCGGTATCGGCAGATACTGCTTTCTGTGATCGGCGATCGGTGACCGGCCTCAAAAATCCTGATCGGAGCACCCCTAATAAATATTAAAGCTTTTAACATAATTAAATGTACATACTGAGTGACTGATAACATCTTTGTTATGGAATACACTCGTTGGTTCGCAGTGAGTTCACCGTTTTAACGGACATCTTTGCTTTAATTTATTTTCAAGATCTGAGGTAAACTATCTGTTGTTGCTTTCAGTATGGCTATAAGGTCACACAAAATTATATTTAAACTCATATTAGACAGATTTAACTTTGAATAAAGCACAATCACCTGTTATTATCTACTGTTATATAATTTGTATGTTGTTGTTCCAGCCGCGACGTCTCGGAAATAGAAACCGTTTCTAAATTACAAATTTCGCGTGTTGCCATTGCGGCTAGTTAGGACAAAAACTCCGATTAACATGGAAAAGATACCTTTTATCGCGTGTCGCGGCGCGTGTAGTTATTACACGGTGTTATAGTAAAAATACATGATCAGTAGTAAGATAGAAGTAACACATGCTATAGAACAGAAAAGATGCACCTTCTAAAAGAGATCGTATTAGGCAATCACATGGCTGTATGCTTGATTTTATGACCCTGTGTCAACATACTTTTGGCTTTTAGTCTATTTTAGTACTAATACAGGTGAAATGCAATGAGAGTTGGGAGATGTGATGATATTTGTGATATTGTGATATTTAGGGAGGAGAAAATCAGTGATGGTTTCAGTTGTTTAAATAATGCAGTGTGACAAAGCTGCTCAGCCAGCGGCCAGAGAGCACTACTGTTAAACTACCCTCTCATGGCTTTACACAGCGAGTATGACTCTATCATGCTCACACCAATTAATCTCACAACTTTCCTTGTAAGGAATAGGTTGAAAAAGCCTGTTTGCTTAACTCGACACACAGATCTGGTGTAAGATGGCCCTCTCTGGTCTGATTATAGTCTCGACTGGCTAAAAAGCCCACCTGATTTCACAACAGTGCTTATTACGTGACGGATTGTTTTTCTTGTTACTTAAGGTCTGCTTGTGTTGTACAAAGCCTCCATATTTTGTCAGCATCTTATCAGATCAGACAGTTTTGATACGTTCTCTCTGTTTGCTGTCCCACTCTTTTATTTCCGTTCTTCGGATGAGAGCGAAATCTTAATGATGTTTTCGCTCCATGGTGCCAGGTAAGTCTGTTTGTTCTGGGCCGAGCCAGAGTTTAACATCTCAAAGACAAGAGTTTTTTTTTTTTTTTGGTTAATCTTAAGTTGTAAACAAGTTTTCCTTTTAAAAGGATGCTGTGGAAATCATTAACAATATCATGTAGAATGACTACAGCTCTATTATTGTGTCCAGTCATTTTTATACTTGGCTAAATCTAATTTATTTATTTATTTTTTAAATAGATCACTGGTTCTCAACTGGTAGGTTACAGCAAATATGACACATCTGTCATATCATTGGACACTTAAGAGTAAAAAGATTTTGCTGTGAATTAGTGGCAAAATTTAGTGTTGAGATGTTTATTTTAAAAGTCCTCCGATATTAAATTTGTCAGGGCATTTCATAATTGTTTAAAAATTATGTAAAATAAGAGTTCACCAGTTGACCTCAGGGAATGAAGCCGTGTTTCCTTTGACATGTCTCCTCAGTGGCCATTGCTGATATAGTTGAGAACTGGGACATGGTGCTGTGTTCCATAAGTAATGTGCATTACCATTCAATATGACAGCAGGCAGATATTCAAATGTCCTCTGCAGCACAGACTTGAAATATCATCATAATAGAAGGATATTGAGTGAGTTTCGTTTTGAGCCCTACCTTCTTAAAAAATTCTTTAAGTTAATTAAGGTCTATTTTAGCCCGATGCAGCCTGTGTTTTGCTAAAAGAGTTACACCTAATGTTCCTTGGTAATTCAGTCAATTAGTTGTACTGTTGCGTGATATCAAACCGAGTTTGATTAGGTATGATTATGCTGCACTGAATAACTCGCTATAATTGTTTCTCAATCTTTTAGTTACCAAGTATGAGAACTATTAAGTGTTTTTAGCACTTCTATGCTAATAGTATTAAATTATCTGAAAAGATATTCATAAATAGCTGTGCTTTTAAACAATAGGCCTTTCAATTTGAGGTTTGTAAGGTAATTAACTGCCAAATTCTTCCAAATTCGGGTTTAGACTAACTTTTAGCCTCTTTTTATATTGAACAGGCTAGCTCCAGAGCCTCTTTTATAGGGGATACAACCCAGAGTAATATGATTGTACTTTATGGTAGCGCACATTTTGTATTAGGTGGGCCAATTTTAAAGAATATTTTATACCTCTTTATTGTTATTATTTAAATTTTTTATTAAATAATATTTACATTTATTATCAGATCTAGAAGTTTTTGCCTGTTTCCAGGCAGTTTTTTAATTAATCTAATTTTGAAAAAAAAAATTTCTAGGCTTTTTTTTTTTGGTGTGGAAATGTGTGGAAGCAGCACAGGCAATCTTACGGTGGAAAAGGGGCGCCTGTGCTGTCCTGGTCCTGTTCTCTCTCTTTCCCTCAATAATTTTCTGTTCCTCTTTCACTCTTCTGTCTAATAAAGCGGCAAAAAAAGTCCAAAAATAATAAAAGAGAAGGAAAGTGAGAAGTGTGTGTCAATTTTCCTTTCCTTTGACCTCAAAAACACTTCCTCTATCTGTTAAAGTATATTTCAGTATATGTAATGCAGCGTTTGACGGCCTTCAGCAGCACCTTGCGTTAAGAGGCAGTCGAGGGGCCTCAAAGCGCAGCGAGACGCGGCTCTTCAGTGGCGTATGTAACTTTGATGAAGTGAGCGCTGTGAGTAGTGGCTCCCTGTTCTCCTCTCTTGAGCCAGTACCGCTGGCTAACTGCTCCATTATAGCTCATTGTGGTTTCGGAGCTGTGTTCTCGAGGACTAGCCTGTCATTAACGGAGGTAGTCGCCCCACTACAAACCACTGCTCGGTTAAAAATAAATCCCCATCCCACCACTCCAACAGCGAAATCGTTTCAAACCGTCTATTATTTTTCGTTGTGAAATATTTTCCTTATTGACAGTGCCTGACCTTGACAAAAACAGCCTGACTGCTCTGACCAGAAATGTACTATTTTTCGGGCATTTTTCTCCGACGTCAGCTATTTGACGATAATTGGCGGGAGGGATGGGGATCGCATGTGTTTTGTCTTGTCAGTCTGACCGTCCATTAAATCTTAAAATAGACGAAGAGACTTCAATTTTGCTGCACCAATTTTAAACAAAAAAGATAGAGCACATATATAATTCATAATGGCAGACAGACCAATGAATACAGCCGTTTGCAACGGGTGAATGCTTTTTTCTGTTTAATTTCTATCTTCCGTTTTCCTGTAACGGTGGGTTTGTTAAAATAGTACGTTTGAGTCAGACCCACGCTGATCTCGTGGGTCAATGCAAAGTCCTTGCCACATGTCATTTTTTCATTCGAGAGAGCGAGAGCCTCCTCTTTTCCTTTCAGGAAATGAGAGCACAATAGGGAGCTGTACATAGCACGCGGCTGGGGCCCTGTTTTGGGTTGCACACGCATGTGTGTGTAAATCAGAGACGGAGGGTGAGGGGGGTCATTGCACTTAATTGTAAAGAGTTTTTGCTCATTTATACTTCTGCCCCAGAGGCAAAGCCACATGTTACAGATGTTCAAGAAAACTTGATGTATTGTATAGTGGCCTCTAACCTCAAATGTTTTTTTCTTTTTTTTTCTTTTTTTGGTAAGGATACCTGAGGTGGTGTTGGCTCACCCTAGACGAGATAAGACATTACCAAAGGAGATAAAAGAGATTGTTTGGTTTTGTTTGTTTTGTTTGTTTTTGTTTTGTGCTGTGTTGTTTATTTTGTGTTTTGTTTAGTTTTTTGTTGTTGTTTTTTTACTTTGTTGTGGTCCTGGCTCACTTGGTGCCCTATTTGAGATAAGACATGAACAAAGGTAAAAAAAAAAAAAAAAAAGTGCTGTAGAATTGTTT